GAAAAATGATTTAGAAATAAATTTTTTATATAACCTTACAAATTAATTAAATAATTATTTTTTATTCATCTAAAATTTATAATATTAAATATACTATTCATTTAATAATATATAAAAATTATATTAAAAAATCATACTAAAATATTCATAAATTATACACAACAAGAATACTGAACACCTATAAATTCAGTGCAGCGAAGTCTTAGGCTATGACGGCTGCTACTCCTTTATCACTTCTTGTATGACAAGATATCTCCCATGACCCATATTATGGTAAGGAAATCTCGGCCGTATTGTCCCAGCTGCCTAACATGGTTCACTACATGCTAGTAGGAATGTGCTTCATAAATAAATATCTCAATCCACATTGCCTTTATCAGCTCCAATCTATTTATGTTTTGGTTCAATTTTGTGGCCAGGTATCCTGCATATTTTGGCAGATTCCCAGCGAATTTGTGGGGGCTTGGGTGGAAAAAGGAAAAGGTATATGTATAATTAAATATTGGTTAATTTAATTAATATTCTACTATTAAAAAACAAAGTATAACCAACAAATTTATAATTGACAGTCAATTTTCTATTGATTATACAAGTATAATCGACAGAAAAAGTTGTCGATTATATTACTCTGTCGATTGTGTACTTTATTAGTCTATATAATTGACAAAAATTATAATCAACAACTTTTGTATAATCGACAAAAGGTTGACTATTGATTATGTATTCAATAGAATCAAAAAAAATTTCGGTTGATTATATGGAAAAATAGCTCATTTGCTATTTGGGATTATGCGTAGTTGGTTGGAAAATATCAAATTTCTAGCAGTGCAAGCCTTGAAAAATTAATTCTTTGTAACTTTAAAACCAAAAATTTTACAGAACAATCAATAAAAAAAAAAAAAACTAAGCAAAAAAACCCAAAAAAAGGGGGGAGAACTAGATAAACCAAACCTTTTGATAAGATAATTACAACCTTTAGAGCACTTGCTTGGAATCAATCAAAATATGCAAATGAGAAAACCTACTAAATATCAATTTCAAGAAATAAAACATTAGTTTAAATAAAAAAAATTAAAAAATTAAAAGAAATAAAAAATAGAGCCTATAATCGACAACCAATGGTTGTTGGTTACATAATCGACAGGAAATTAAGTTGTCGATTATACTCAAATCCCGCCCATTTAACCCAAAAAAATTAAATCTATTGGCTAATTAGATTTGAAACATAATCAACAGAATTTTTGTTGAATATATTTTGACTATATAAGGGCTTTAAAATCAGAACATCCCATTGCCTTCTCCTTTTCATCTTCAGTTTTCTCTCCACTTCTTCTTTCCCATAGGTAAAATATCCCATTTTTTCTTTCAACTTCTTCTTATTTTAATTTTCGTTTTCCCTTTTTCTTTTCATCTTTTATATTCTCCCATTTGTATTTTTGCAAATATCTCTACTTTTATTTCATTATTCATTTATACCTATTCCATTATCTTTTTTGTTGACAATCCATCATCTTCTTTCTCTTCATCCTTCTCATTCAATGTAATTTTTTTTTTAATGCATTAACCAATTACTTCAAT